GAGGGGGGCCGCGGGTTGTCCGAGGGGAGCCGGCCTCAGACAACCCCCGGCCCCCTCAGCCAGGTGAGGTGCGCATGTGAGGTAAAACTCTCTCCAAGACAAACATACAGTTCTAATATAATAACGCGTATCGGACCAAATACAGGTAATTATGTGGAAAACCTCCCCCTTCCCCCCCAGTTATCTCCTCAGCGTTATGACAGCTTCCCAAAGCTAAACAGGCTTGCTGAGGGACGCAGCTGAAGTATTCCAAAAATCATGCACAAGAGGCAGAAGGAAGCATTCCTCCCTGAAATAAATCTCACTAAGCGGAGTTTTTCGGCACCGATATGGTGGCATCTCTCGTAGCGTGAAGGAAATCAATGGAGAGAGCAGCTCGGCAGCCAGATTCGCTGGAGATGGGGGTTTTTTTTTAGGAGACAAGTGGGCTTGCAGCCTTGCTGCTCCTGGAAGCGTCTCCTTCCAAGAGACCGAGTGTGGTATCACATAAAAGACCAGAATAATTCCTGGGTTAAAAATGCTGTTTGGTTTTTTTTTAATGACCCACTCTATTACCATCCGCCCAGACGTGTATTAGTATGCGCAGCTGGGAATCTGTGTTTATGCTTCTGGGCTGGGGTGTCAAAGAAGTAAATCAGAACTCGGGTTAAAGACTCACAGAATCACAGACTCACAGAATGGTGGGGGTTGGCAGGGCCCTCTGTGGGTCACCCAGCCCAACCCCCTGCCCAAGCAGGGTCACCCAGAGCAGGCTGTAGAGGACCTTGTCCAGGCGGGGCTGGAATATCCCCCAAGAAGGAGACTCCACAGCCTCCCTGGGCAGCCTGGGCCAGGGCTCCGTCACCCTCAGAGGGAAGAAGTTCTTCCTCGTGTTCAGCTGGAACTTCCTCGGCTTCAGTTTGTGCCTGTTGCCCCTTGTCCTGTCGCTGGGCACCACTGGAAAGAGCTTGGCCCCGTCCTCCTGACACCCACCCTGCAGATATTTAGAGGCATTTCTAAGGTCCCCTCTCAGCCTTCTCTTCTCCAGTCTGAACAAGCCCAGCTCCCTCAGCCTCTCCTCGTAGGAGAGATGCTCCAGTCCCCTCATCATCCTTGTAGCCCAATAAACTGCCTCTGATGGAGTGTGAAGTTGCCTTTATTAATGTAATGTTTTTTCATAGAACTTGAAATTCAGTATTTTTGAAGCTTTCCTAAGTGAGGGAGAGAATTATTACAATAAAGGCATGATAATGTTCTTTACTACACCATTTTCTATGCCACCCAACTAATTTAATTGCCCTGACTTTGTTGGTGATGATGATTTCCCTTCCTGAAATACTTTCAATAACTAATAGTTTGTATGCTCTTTATGCTGTTGTCTTTCTGCTGGGGTAGCAGATGCAAATGTAGTTCCTCCCTTTTTTCTCACCTTCCCAGAAACCCCATCTTGTTTCTGTTTTGTCCCTTCTGCAGCTTCCTTTACTCCTTTTGTTAATAAATTCTCTGTTACAAATTCTTTGTAACAAATTCTGAAGCGCCTCAAGAGAAATGGGCCGTGTTTTGGGTGAAAATGTTCAGACGAAGACAGCCATATCGGGTCAGGCCACGAGTGCATCTAGCCCAGTACCCTTTGGCAGCACCTCAACTCCTACCCTAGTCTAATGGTTGTTTTTCTGTGAGACACTACGACTGGTTCCAGACAGACATACAAACGTGTTCTTTTCCCATCCCTTTTCCCGATGTTACTTAGATTTCTGTCTTCATCCTCAGAGCATCTGTATAACCTGTGTGGTAGCTTCCTCCAGGACTTGTGTTAGGAAAATAAAAAACCCCAGTTTGTTCTCTGACACCAATCATACTAGAAGATGGCAAAGTTTTAGTAAATTCAATTGCAGTAAGTTCAGCTTCCAAGAGAAAGTGAGCAGCTATGCAGTTTGGGAGGGTTTGCCTTCAGGCTTAATTGACACTGTCAATAACTTCAGCAAATTAAGTTTCTTTTTTCTAATTTAGGGGCCAAATTTCTCATCTGCACCTGAGTTATATCCCATATAGAAAGGCTAACTTTAGATTAATTTCACATCTCTTCTAGTTTTACAACACACTGCTTTACTTAACATCATGTCTGGAACGACACAGCTGCTTATTAGAGGGTAGTGGCATTTTTCATATATTTTAGGGGGACAAGCGCTTACAAAATTTTTGCAGAGGGAGCAGGCTTATTTTTTCCGTATTGGGGCACTTGCCATGTTTGTCTCTAATTCTGTGCAGCTGGAAGAAACCAAGATCCAGTCTTTCCTCATTTATCCTCGCTGCGACGACAGCTCCGATGTCACTTTTCAAAGGAAACATGAAGCGTGAATCTCCTCGGCTGGCGCTGGCAGGGTCTGAGCAGTGCCAGCGGTTTTCTGATGTTGCCAGTTCGCTCCACGCACCCCGCTTCTCGCAGCGGCAGCGCTCTGGAGGTAGGACAAGCGACTGAGGGCGTCGCGGGAGTGGACAAAGCACAGGCTGTGGAAGGGCAAGCAGCGAGGTGAAGCGGGGCTCTGGTGAGAAAAGCTTTGGTGCAGGATGCGTTACAGGGTGGGGAGGGAGGAAGTGAGGACTGCGAGGGGCCAGCTTCTCCAGCTCACGGCGTTAGCATGCTCATGTGCTGCACCTGTCCCTGCTCAAGGAAAGAGGTTAAAACCACCCTGCACATGCTCATGGTTGTGATGCCTTAGGTTTTGTGGGAGCTCTGAGGCTTAAATGAGAGGTAAGAGCTTAAAAAGAGGTAAATCTGTTAAATTTGCCACTTGTGCTGAAATAGCCTGCAAAGCCCTGATGTCTGAGCTGTGAGGCTTTGACCCCATCCATAGCTCTCCATGCCCTTCCTTTTCCCTCCTCAGCTCTCCTCCTTTTCCTGCGTTCTCGGTCAGCATTGCTGTCAGTGATACGGTTGTTTCCTTCCTCCTGAGTGCAGCAAAGAAGCTGTGAGTAACCGAGACCTGAGGGTCAGTAAGACAAGGACAGAGAGCCTGTATCGCAAAGCAGAGACAAGGAAGAATTTCCATGGCAATTTCCTAAATTGCTGTAGAGATTGTGTTGCTATAATTTGCTGTTGATCAAACGTGACCCTGAATTTATGAAGCATTTTGACTTGGGAAAATAAAAGCTTAAATGCTGAACAGGTCCAAGTTAGTTCTGGGGGGTTGTTCCTAAATCTGTACAAACATAGGCATGTGCTGCTTCCACAACATTTAGAAAATATATTTATTTTAAGCCCTGATCTTATGCATCCCTTCAAAGCTGAACGTGCGTCCTCTCACAGCCAAGCCTCGAGCTAGGCTCTGCTCATCTGCTTCAGACTTTGGTGACAGTAAAAAATTAGCTCTACAGCATGTAATATTTGAACAGAAGGAACCGGTGAGTGGCCTAACTTGAAGTGACACACATATCCTCATCAGCTGGAATGCAGTGCCTGTGGGTTTTGTCCTTCAACAATATCTTTTTACCTCTCATCCCAGTTAACTTGGTTCAGATTCAAAGAGGACGGGGGTGGTGTAATCTACATGTTAATAAGCCTCTCTCACTCTCCCCTTCTCTCTTCTTCCTTAACAAACTGGATGTTGTGGCAACTTTCCCAGTGCTGACATTGTGCGGTGGTTTGCATCACGCTTATGTCACTTCTGACTTGGACCCTTTAGAAATGGAAAATTCTAAAGGGTTGTTGCAGGCAGCTGGTCTAAAAAACATTGAGGTTTAAATTTTCTTACCATCTTTTTTCATACATCAAATGCTTGTTTAGAGGCCAGTTATTCCTAATTTGTTTTGTATTTGAAGACTATTTCTATATCCTTTGTAAGCATTTATGACAGACCTCACTGGCTCATAATCACTAACAGATGACTGTAACATAATACAATGAATTTGGACAAACTTCACTTTATTTTGTTTTGCAACTTTTCCAGTTCTATCTTCAGCCTCTTGCTGTAGTTAAAAACAAGCTCTGTTACATGACTTTAAGTGAATTGTTTATAGCTTTTGCTTCCTCCTGTCATTAATTATGGCTTCATTTTATTCCCAATAATTAATCACAAGAGTTTATTTTCTGTGTAATTAGTTCACCAAATTTGTTGCTGGATAAATCAAGCTTTGAATGGGTGATCTTCTAATGCGTTGCTGGGCTGGCCTTGCCTATGATTAAGCACTGGCATAAAAATATGTATGCTGTTTTTATTGTGGCTGGTTTTTTTCAGGGAAATTTGATCTTGAAGGCATCTGACAACTTCTAAATCTTTTTGGTTATGGGAAGGATTTTTTTTTAAAAAGACAAACATGTGTGTTCAGTGCCAGCAGCGACAGATGCCATTCTTGCACACCCAGGTAACAGGGTGTTCCCAGTGGATTTTATACATGTGATGTAACGCAGACTGTGTTTCCTGCAGGGAAAAATGGATGATATGTTGCATTTTTATAAAAGGGCAGGCTACATTAAAGCCAAAATGAAGTCTC